GAGGAAATGGGGAAATACTGCTTTAAGAGAGGCACGGCCAGGTGTTGACTTTGCCTAATTATGCCCAGCTGGAGCCCTTTGCCCCACATAGCTGCCTATTGTAGTTAAATGAAAGCTTTTATTGGTAGTTTGCATTACCTGCTATTCCTAATAACTCTTTAGCTTTTCTATCCGATTTTAGCACCACGATGAACCTCAACCTTTATGTTCTACTTATCCTCTCTTTTATTTAGTCTGTTTTTTTTTTAGATCTTTATCCAACCTTTCCCTTCAGTTTTTTTCCCCTTCCCTTCACAAAGGTTTAAACACACCCAAGCTGGTCTGGCAAGTCCAGATTCCTTCCTAACACCACCCACTTATATAAGCTGTCTTTATCCTTTTTGAAAACATGCAGAAACTAGAAATTGTATAGCAAAGCTGAACATTTAAGCCACAATCATAAATGAAGTTCATGTTCGACTCCTGTGATGTGTCATGATCAGCTTGGAAACATTGCTTGCTTTCTCTGTGGGATGTTTGTTGAAAAGATAAGCTCCCAAAGTGATCAGTTTAGTTTTGCCACAAAAGAGAGACATTTTAATCCTTTGAAGAAGTGATCCACAGAAAATACTAGATGGGACAGGATAATGAGAAACAACAGGAACACCAAACTGGGCTGATCAGACTCTTTGAATTCAGCTCAGTTTTAATGTTTAATGTTAAATTAAAGTTATTAAGGAACAAAACTTTTTTTCAGCTGTATGAAAAAGTGCACATGACTCTTAGCTTAAAAAAACCCTTCTCTTTGGTGGCATCTGGTGTCCAAAATGATAAAGGACAGCTTGATTTTTATTAAATTCTCCAGTATGACTGTTCAGTTGAAAGATTTTTGATCAATTTGTCAAGTGTGAGTCTATAATTGTGGTGCTTTGATCATGAATACAACAAAGTCTCAATCCAGCTTCTTGACATTTATAAATACCAAAAAAATAGTGGTTAAATCCTAGACATGCCAGACACACAACCACACACACACACAATCACAGCTAAGGTTAGTCTAAAACGATCAATTAACAGATATGTTTTTGGACTGATTGATAAGGTCAGATGACTGTTAAAGAAAACGTGTGGGAGAACATGTTTGACTTTTAACAGCACTTTATTTACACAGTTCAAACATATATACAATTGACGTAAAACAAGTGTCAGTTAAAATCACTATTATAGTTAAACAAGTGTCAGTTAAAAATCATTAAATGAGGAGCTTGTTAAAATGCAGTTCTCCATCATCTGACACAGTACATAAAATGTTTTTAAAACCCCCACACCTGAATAAAATCCTCCATGTTCTGTGTGGCTCTGTGGAAGTGAAACTCCAGCCTGATCCTGCCTTTAACGTTGCACTTCCACAGACCCATGGCGTGAAGGTGAGGTCTCTCCTGCAGTCTGTCTCTAAGGGACAAATAAATAGCCATTTTAGCTTCACTGATTAAAAAGTTCAAAAGTCTGGCCTTTGCCTTGTTGCTTTTGTTTTGACACACTCCTCCAATAAATAGAAAAGTTGTAAAAACGGTGCCAAAAAGACTAAAAACATTTGTTAAAAGGCTAAAAATGGTCTTTAGTCTGACGCAGTCCATAAAAACATGAAAAACATTTTCAGACAGACTGCAGAAGGGACACTCGTTTAAAACACCCCGATTGATGACGGATAAAAACGAGTTTGTGGCGATGGGGCCGTGTAGAATCCTCCATTGGAGATCGCCAGTTTTTTTTAAATTGGAGGCTTATATAAAGTCCTCCACTGGGGTGCTCTGCCAGCAATTTAGAAAAGAACATGTTTGGACTTAAAACCAGTGGGCTTTTAATTAATAGCTGGCTGATAAACATATTTGATATACTATGTTGTGGGACTGGGCAATTAATTGCATGTTAGATATATTCACAATTGAACGAAATGCAGTTTTCAAATCACAGAGCCATTTATTACATTTTACAAGAATGAGTGGCAAAATTTCTCCCTCCAGCCCTTAGGTGGCGGTAATTTGCTTAAAGTGGGTTTGCAACCGCACAGTTGGGAAGAGAGTAGGGGTGGGTATCGCCAAAGAAGTCACGATTCGATTCGAATCACGATTCACAGGCCACGATGCGATTCTATCACGATGCATCACGATACTTGAATTATTGCGATGCATTGCAATATTTTCTCCTCCATGTTTTGTTTTTGAATGACTCAGCACAGTATCCCGCGGCCGGAAATGCTTGTGACACAAGGCAGCGTGCGTCAACACATTTGCAGCGACATCTACTGGACTGGAAGTGGTATTACACTTGTTTTTGGCTGATGTTCGCCAACCATTCATGCAATTTTATTTATTCATTTTTAAAAATTAATAATCGATTCTTGGCATCAAGAATCGATGCAGTAGATCACGAAAATTAGAATCACGATGCATCATCATCACGATTATTTTGCACACCCCTAGAAGAGAGTACGGTTTACTGTGCCCAAGGTTACAGTAAAATCCTGCAACAACAGACTGGAAAAGCAAGCGTTCGGGATCACGAAAAACCCGTATTTAAAACATTTATAGGATTGTGGTGTCTTCAAGGGAAAATAAAAAATAAATGGCAATCACAATATTGGTTTGACAAAATCATTCAGCCCTAGTATGTTGCTCAGTGCTAATGTTTTTGATTCGCTGAATTAAACAAATGCAAATTAAACTCATCTTATGATGATGTAAAGTTTCTGTTTGGAGTTGATGGAAACTCGAAAGTTCTGTGTTTTTTTTTTTTTTTTTTTTTTTTTTTTTCAACCATACACATCAATATGCATTCCTAATGATCAGTTTGTCTGTGTCATAATATGCCTAAAATAATTTATATAGCTCTCACTAAATCTTTTTTTTAGATTTACTACAGTCTGGCCCCTGTTATATTACTACCCATCTTATATGTTCACCCTAATATTTAACAGAAGGAAAGGCTTGAAAATGAGCCATGTAACTAATTGCACTTGGTGAACAGAGTTACTGGAATAAAGGAACCTTTTTTTAACAATCTTATTTATTTAATAGTTGACTGTATAAAACCAACTCAGGCCAGTGCAACCAACTAATATAAAGAGATTTAAATACAACTAAATATAGTCCAGTTGTATATGAATTATGTTATAGTTTAATTAAGAAAGTATAGATGAGTGCGTTACGTTTTTTAATGCTTATTTGGAAAGGGACATTTAAAGAACAAATTTAATGGCCAAATCATTTCTGTATTGTCTAAATTAAATATTACATATTTTAAACAAATAGTGACTCGGTTTATAAAAGAGAATCTAGATTAGGACAGAGATAATTTCTAAAGTAAAGTTAACGACCCTGTACACATTTAAGATTCAACTAAATTCCTTACAGTGTGATTCTTTTTTACTTCCAGTTATTTGGACACATTTGAAAACATTACATTTATTTAAACCAATTTTATTTATTGTTATTTATTATTTTATCATCTAGATATGTTTTCTTGTAGAGTACTATGTGACTTCAGAATCCCTTTGTCTCAAATAAAAGCTGGCCCCTATATCAAAATTTTAAAAATAACATTCTTACAAAGAAAGATAAAATGAGAGATTATATAGTAGAGCTAAACTAATGGGCTTGGATAAATAAGATTTGCCTCTAAGTCTTTTTAAATGTAATGTGAACAGAACTGAGTGCCTCTACAGTTTGAAAGTTGTATTTTTTTATTGTGATTTTATGGAAAATGCGATTAATGCCCACTATGGTTTATGTCATGTTGGTCTGTTTTGAATTATAATTATACTCTTATGTAGGCCATTAGGTTATTGTGTATTCTGTTTCTCATGTTTATCAACAGGCGCTTGTTTATGTCATTGTGACATTTGGGACAAAACTTAAATTCAGGGAACCTTTTTAGAATGACTTAATAAAAAGAAAAACCTATCAAGATAAATATTAAATATCACACATTCAGCTTCAAATAAGCTAAACATAATTTTTGGTCTATGTCTTTAGAGGGTCATTAATTTATCAGTTTCTAATTTTAATCAAAGCCGGCTGCTCAGTGGTGCAGTGGGTAGCACTGCTGCTTTGTAGCAAGACGGTTCCGGATTCCATTTCCAGCCCAGGGTCTTTCTGCATGGAGTTTGCATGTTCTCCCTGTGCACGCGTGGGTTCTCTCTGGGTACACTGGCTTCCTCCAACAGACCAAAAAATATGACTGTTAGGTTATTTAGCTTCTCTAAATTCTCCTTGAATGGTTGTTTGTCTCTGTGTTGCCCTGCGATGGACTGGCGACCTGTCCAGCGTGTACTCCGCCTCTCGCCCATAGACTGCTGGAGACAGGCACCAGCACCCCTGACAACCCCACTTGGGATAAGCATGACGGAAAATGGATGGACTGGATGGATGGATAGTTTTCATTTTTGTTGATTTTAGTGCTGCAACTAATGATTATTTTGCAAATCGATTAATCTGTTGATAATGTTTTTGATTAATAATAAGATAGCCAAAGATTCCTTAAAGACTTTTTTCGAAAATAAACCACGTCACCCTCAAACTTTTCCCCTTCAGAAATTCTGGATAGAGCATAATGACAGATTAAATTAAAAAAAAATCTTGAATGCAAAGTTTTTTTTTTTTTTTTTTTGTTTTGTTTTTTTTTTACACAATTTTAGTATAATTACTGCTCTAAATGAGTCCCTCTGTCAGCTAAAGGCATGTTTTAGAGTCTTTATACTCCAGTTAATGATTATTTGATTACTAAATTAGTTAACAATTATTTCAATAATCTATTAATCGACAGTAATCTGATGGTTTGAGCCCTAATTGATTGTATTGCTTTTGTGGTCATCCGAAACTGCTCTGTTAGAGCTCTTCCTGTGTCCTAGTCCAAGGTGAAGCAACATCAGCTCCTCCCTCTGCTCAAATCAAGCCTGTCCTGAGATTTGGTCTCTGAATCATTGTCCATTTACCGGTAGCTGATTTCACAATGTTGTGAAATATTAACGAAATAAACTGATCAAAGAGCTTAGAACAATGCAGTGTTTGAGCAGAAAGGGCTGTGAAAGCAGCTATTGTGTGACTTGGAAACAACAGGAGGAGGAGCCTGTGTAATCTGAAGATGAAGGTCAGCTCCCAGTCAGACCTGTTCGGCTTGGTCCTCAGTAGAGACTTTAAACCTTCAGCTGAGTCAATGAAGGGGAAACCAGCTTGTTCTGCCTGATTCTTTTGGTTTGGTTGACAAAGGATGTTTTTTTTTCTTTAAGTACAATAGATACAGTTTTCCTCCTTAATTGGACTGTTCTCTGTACCTGAAGGAGAAACGGGATACTCTGGAAAGCAAATAGAGTTTGGGGTAATTAGGAGTCAGAACCACTGACAGACGTTGACCTGCCAGAGGTCCTGGTCTGTTTCCCCTGCTGTGGAGTGGAGCTGGGGGAATGCCAGGACATTCCGAAAGTCTCTTTCTGTACAGCCGGCCCACTTCTCTCTTTTTTAGTAGTTTCCTTTAAAAAAAAGAGGAGTAGAAGGAAGCACCATTGCTTCCTGACTCATTTTGTCCTTTTAGTTCCTCCTTAAGAAACGAAGGACTGGATCTTTGTAGCGCTGCCTCATTGTAGATTATATATGTTGTTTTTTGTGAAGCACCTTTGATCTGTTTTAAAAATGGACTGTCTGAAAAAGCAGGAGGAGGCAGAGCACAACAGAGAAAGTAGGTGTCAGCATTTTCTTTCTTTGACTGAAATGATGGAAGCGGCATCGGCGTAATGAAATCTAATGTATTATTACATTTTTTATCCCCCTTTTTTTTTTCTTCTTCTCTTCTTCCCTCTCCTCCTCTCCAGTGCATCCCATGTGGCAGGGACCCCTCGTGGTACCAGGAGGCGATCATCAGTCTCCCATCGATATTGCAGTGAGAAAAACGGTCTTTGATTCGGAGCTGAAACCTCTGGTGACGAGCTACGACCCAGAGACCTGCCAGCAAATCTGGAATAATGGTTATTCCTTTCTGGTCGAATATGACGACACCACAAACAAGAACAGTGAGTCATTTTTAAGTGTTTGTTAAAGATAAACAAATGGGTAATTTCTGAAAGAAATAAATGTTTGTTTTTTCTCTAAAAAGTAAAAAATGTGTTCATTGAACCCTTATTCTGACATCCTGTCTGCAAACTGTAATTTCTCTTTAAATCTAGAGTGCATTGCAGGGAAATCTCAGCAGGGAGAATGCATGTTTTGATCTATGTAAGAGGATTATCTCCTCCCCCACTCCCCCTTTGAAGACCCCCACTCATATGTATGAAAATCCAGTAATCAACCCTAAAGTCAAAATACCATGTGCATTTGGTGACCCTCATGTGACTCGTGTTTTATTTGTTAAAGATCTCTGTCTGAACTAGAAATTGTACCTTTGGCAGCATAATTACCAGATTTTTATCAACATAGCATTACATTAAATATGAGGCCTGTTTCAGATGTATTTAAATGTTCAAATGAGTTAGATCTCCCTGCTTTGTATTCAGAATCGAAAGAACAAACAGTTTATGTAGTGAAATGTTGAGGGCAGGAATTTATGACTCCTGTATAAACCAAGAAGCTCTTTATTGATCTCAGTTTAAGAAAATGTGCAATGGCACATTTTAAGCAACATAAATGGCAGAGAAGAAGGCAACTTGAGTCTGTTTTATGTTTATAAAGTTGGCACCATAAAAGTTAAACAGTATTTACTTTTAGGGACTGTAGTCCCTCCCTTTATGCTTTCCTGGAATGTTCCTGGTCAGTGGTTTGCTTGAACAACCTGTTCCTCCAGAGCCTTTGTGGAAGAAAAAAAAAAGCAGCACACCTAGAGACTGTTTCCACAGTTATGTTGCTGCCTCTTTTCAAAAAGGATTCAATTAATTTTTCCTTTAATCTGCACACACACAGCATTCCATAATGAGAACATGGAAAGAGGTTTGGGTTTTTTGCCAAATAAATTGTAAATCAAAAAAAAAAAAAAAAAAATGCATGGTTATACACACAGACTTTTTTTTATAAGGTTTAAAATGGTGTCCAGCTCACGGCACAGTGGAAGAGCATTCATTGGCAATCAGTTCACACCTACATGTCATGTTTTCCCCCTCTCTGTATAGCAGGCAGAAAATGTGCCCCAAACCCTTTAACAGGTTAAGAATAAAACAGAAAACCATTGGGCTTCCACTCTGCATTATTAAGATGTTTCCACAAGGACCCTTAATTCATTTTCTACAGTCTGATGGTCACCTGTCCAGCTGCCAGGTATTAAGGTGGAAGCGTTACAATATGTCCATTTTTGCCAGAGGGACTGGTACACTTCAGAAAATAGAAGAGAAAGCATTATGTGAAAATATTATAGGAGGTTACAGCTTGGGCGCAAATGGGTCTTCTTATAAACAATAACGTAAACCCTCCTGCTTAAGTATTTACAATGTCGGTGTTTTCAAGTGGCCATCACAAAGTCCTGATCTCAGTTTTATAGAAAATGTGTACATAGAGCTGGAGAGAGCAGAATTAAAGCTTGCTGTGCGAGCACCTGACCCAGTTACCTTATGAGGATTGGAGCTAAATCCCAGAAAACTATTAATAGAAGGTGGTGGGTGAAAAACAGTTTCTACAGTTTAAAATGTAGATCTAGAAAAATAAAAATAGAGAAACATTCAAATTTGAATTTCCTTATATTAGCCGTAGCTACAATGAGGAGGTAATTTCCATATTTGGTCATACCCTGGTGTAGTTATGCTTCATTCTGTTACAGACATTTGGGAGCTGAACTCCTTTCTCTCTGTTTGAGATCCTCCAGTCCAAGGCTGGTTATGGTTCCTCTTTGTAGCACAAGGGGGGAAGTCGGCCTGTCAGAGCTGAGGCCCCACATTGTGGATTGCGTTGCCTCCATCTTTGCACTGTCCTGATTGTGTTAATACAGAAGATCTATTCATTCAGATCAGCTTCTAACCAGGTCTATGCTGTATTATGTTGAATATATATTGTTCTCATCTCTTTAACGTTTTTCTTGTCTTTTTTGTATGGCTGTTTTATCATGAAGTATTGTTTGTTTTTTTTGTCCTGTGAAGAGTGTCGTATACAATATACGATCAAAAATCTTATCTTGATGAATTGCCTTGATCTGCTGCAACAAATCTTCACAAATTCCTCGGGATTCAGTTTCTGCATGCCATAGATTTTTTTCTGGCACTTGTTTATTTCAGGAAGAGTTTTAATACGTAGTTATTCAGAAACTAAAAAGAATTAACAAAAGTTTGTGCTAATTATTTTTCAATAAAACCTCTATCTGAAGTCACCAATATTAATGCATGTTGTCCTGATATCCTGCAGCTCTTGTGCTGATGCACATTCTTTGTTTGTTGTGCAGCACTGAAGGGGGGTCCCTTACGGGACGAGTTTAGGCTGTGTCAGTTCCATTTCCACTGGGGTGAGACCAACGACTGGGGCTCAGAGCACACTGTGGACCGAAGGCTGTTTCCTGCAGAGGTACTGTGTCAGCATTAACCAGCATGATTCCATATCAAAAAAAAAAAAAGGTTTGATCTTTTCTTTTGGAGTGTCTGCATAGGGACAAAAACAATGCCAACCAGACTTAAACCAAAATCAGTTGTCTGCAACCTGAAAAAATGACTTCTGCCTGAAAAATTTCTGTTTCAGATCATCTTGCTACCAATACTACAACAATAAAGGTTTCCTTGATGTCAGTGGTTATTTACAATGTGAAAATGCCCCAGACCAGAGATTTCTTAATGAATTAAATGTTTTTAGACATGTTTGATGCTGAATTAGTGTGGTTAAAAAAAGCTGTATATTATTATAACATATAAATAACTGTCATACACACAGTTGTACAATTTAAGGCTCTATAAGTGGATCACCAACCTTAACTTGGCATATTATCAATTTAAGCTTGCAATCTTTTTTAAATTGGCTGTCAGTTTGTCTGTGCAATCCAACTCTGTGGTATTTATTCAAACTTGAGTTAAGAAAGTGATGCCTGGCTTACATGGAGACAAACGGCTCAGCGTCTCTTAACAGAATTCAGCTGGGGGAAAAAATCACAACAATTCTAATAACCCAGCATCTGAGCGCTCATTATTTAACACAATGCTAATCCGCTTGTCATGCAAAAGTTTAAATTCGTGTTAAAGCTGACAGGGACATAAATATAAAGATTGAATAATTAAAAACATGGCTGCCACTTCAACTGAAACAAGTTTGCTAAAACAAAGCCCCCGAAAACACATCAGGCAGTGAAGTCCTCCTTTTCTTATGGGAACATAATTTTAACTCATTATAGGTCAGATTTAAAAACATTTGATCAAAGCAACACAAACAAGTGTTTTTTTTTTTTTTTTTTTTGAAAGTTCCAGACAAACTTTTTAATCATTTGCAAATGTTGAACTTGCATCTACTGGCAAAAAAAATAAATAAGAACAAAACATTTGAGGTAATTATGGAGAAATGAGTTCATCAACATGACACAAAACCTATTTTATCTACTAGGTGAACATTGTTGTTGTAAATCACACTAGATGAAAAAATCAATTGTTCTAAACCAATCCCTATTTCCAGGTCAGGTAAAGGACAGAATTTACAAAAAGAATGACAATTAGTTCTTTGTTTGTTCAAATGAACCTACTCTTTAATCAGACACAAGAAATTGTTTTGTTTTTTAAGAGCTAACAAGCTAAAGTTATAAAGTTAAGATAACTGGAGGTGAAGTTTTCTAGAAGGCGTTTTGCCTCTCATCAAAGAGGCTTCTTCAGTTCTAACTGGTGGTGAGCAGCACTGAAATTAATGCACTGTAAGCTTGGTTTATGCTAGACGTGTACTTGTGGTCCGTGCAGCCACATTACATCATTTTGGGTTTTTAATTCAAATGAAGACAGTCGTTTGCAGACATCATCCCTGTTCTGGACAAGAAGACTGAGGGTTTGAGAGAACGTCACGTCATGTTCCCTATACTGAACTTTTCAACTTTGACCATGACGTGGATGACTGAGAATCTTCACGGATAAGCTAATAAGCTAGAGGATGTCTGTCTGTGTCTAAACAGAGTATTTGTTTTATCTGCTGTATTTTTTCCTTCCTGAGAGAGGAGAAGTTAAATAAATATGATTTTTTTTCGCTCTGCTGTGAGCTGTCTTTAACCAGTACTGTCCAGCTCCATGTCCCTTAGCTCTAATATTTGTTTGTTTGGATGAGGGACATTTATTCCTATGTTTTTCCATCCTTATGTAACAAGATGTTCCAGTGACTGTGTGAATGTTGTCCCTGAAGCCGGGTGTTTGTTGCTGGGAGTGTTCCCACATCACAGTTCCCATCAGTCTGGGTTTGGGCGAAAGTGTGTGTGGCATCAGGTTGCAGCCACTGCTGATTAAAATAGATTGCTTTCCATGTTTTCAGTCCAACTTTATCGTGTCCTCTTGTGTTTTGGGTGTTTTCAGCTCCACTTGGTCCACTGGAACTCTGACAGGTACTCTCTGTTCGAGGAGGCGGTGATGGAGAAAAACGGACTCGCCGTCATAGGAATTTTTCTGAAGGTCCGTTCTCATTCAACAAACACCTTTGATTGTGACTCTGCTGCTTGTTGTTGAATGGTTTATAATGGTGTTGGATGCTTTAGCTGTTTTCAGCTGATTATCAAGAGACGAACTGTGACTTTAATCCAGATTAATGTCTTATCTTGGTGTAGGTGGGAAAAAGACACGAGGGGCTGCAGAAGCTGGTCGACGCTCTTCCAAGTATCAGACACAAGGTCAGTTTTACTAACATGGAAAATGCCTCCTTTAGAGCAGCGGTTTCCAGGTTCAAAGTTTATCATCCTTGTACTTGCCTAGAAATAAGTACTGAATGTGAAATATTTGCATGAAACAAAGTAAAAAAAGAACAAATTATTGAGAAACTGATTACGTTTCTCAGATGTTTGCCTTGATACAAGAGAGCTGTTTTATCACTTTTTTTGTGTTGAAAGTTAAATAATTTGTGGGTCTAAAATTGTTTTTAGGTCATTAGCAGCAATGAAATCGGAGATTTTTTTTTTCTTCCTGCTTTTAGCCAAGTTTAGGAATGGGTGGGCTCAACTCTGCTTTTGATCAAACAGTTACTGGTGCT